CATATCACGTGACTTACGAACCGAACATTATTGTCCGTAAGTCGAGACTATTGTCAAAAATCGGCGATAATGTTTGGTCGTTTAGCCACGTGATATGAGACGCACGTCATATCACGTGGTCAGATGACTCACATCACAAGGTTCACTCATTGTACCAAGTTTCGTTACCATGGCATTCATCGTAATGACTATTGGCGAAGATCGGCGATAATATTTTGTTCGTAAGTCACGTGATTTGTGACGTAAGTATGAAGTATCACCCATCGTACCAAGTTTCGTTACCGTAGCATTCATAGTAATGAGTCAGTCGCAAAAATCGGCGATAATATTCGGTTGGCGTAAGTAACGTGATATGTAATGTCACGCCATGTCACGTGGTCAGATGATTGACAACACAAGTCTTGCCAATGCTACCAAGTTTCGTTTGGCACGTTTCGTTCCCGAGTTATGGCCGAGGAGCCACCAGATGAGTGTGGGCCACGAGTGGCGGACCACCAGACGTAGGTGGCACGTGCTAACCTTACTTGGATACGAGAATGTCCGGGCTCGAGATTGGAGGTTTTCAAAATTAAAATGAATTAAAAAAACTTTAAAGTATTTTTYATTGTTTGAGAATTTTGTGGGAATGAACGGTTCCAACCTAGTCCTCAGGCCCCTCTCAGGTTGACGAAAGAGGCTGGAACGAGCTGAAGAAATATCCCGAGTGTATTCCGAATGAATATCGATTAGCGGTTTTCGCGCCAATCTTTCAGATCATTTGGAGTTGTTTTTGTTCGTCTTTTGGTTTTTTCACTCTACATTCATAATGGCTTTACAACCTTGTCAACAAATATCTTTAGGTAATAACACCTCAGACCATCTCTTTAAGAATYTTTATTTGTAATTTTATGCTTTTTGTGTGTTTATGTTTGCAGATAGCCCAGCAGAACAGGGTTTTCTGTCGTTCTATCGCTCGCTTCCCGAGGTACAGTTTCAACTGTCAAACTATCTTTTCTCGCGAAATTCGATAATTAAAGACGTTTGTTCTTGATATTTAGGTTCTTTTATTTTATATTTCCATTTCAGAAACTTGAAACAACATTTCGCGTTTTTGACAGATCGGTAAGAATTTTTTTAAACTCAAGTTTATGTAAACACATTTTGATTTGACTCGACTTCTTAAGATGATGAAGTGCAGACATCTGATTCGAACCACGTGTAAAATTGAATTTAACTGAAAATATATTTTATGTACAAAACGTAGAAAATCTAAAATTTRCACAGGTCTTTAAGGTCGATAAAATGACAAATTGTGCAGTTTCCAGTTCACTTTGAAGTGATATTTAATAGATAATTACTGAGGCACGCAGCATTCGTAGGTATAATGCAGGC